AAAAAGAAAAGAATAAAATATTAAGAAACAAAACATACTTTTTCAGCAGCACCAAAAGAGATATATTCCTTTCCTGAGAGTGTTATCTGAGCTGTTTCCTAAGGAACAACTATTTACTAAATTCAGCTTTTCCTTTTTTTTTTCAAATGTGTATGAGTATATTGCCTGAATGCACGTAGGTGCGCCTATGTGTGCGGTGCTGGTGGGGACAGAAGAGGGCATCAGATCCTCTGGAACTGGAGTTATGAACGTTTGTTAGCCACCATGTGGGTGCTGGGATTCGAACCCAGGTCTTCTGCAAGAACAGCCAATGCTCTTATCTGCTGAGCCGTCTCTCCAGCCCTCAGCTTTTCCCTTTTAAAAAATTGTTTTTCTTGGGCTAGCAAGATGACTCAGCAGGTAAAAGCACTTGCTGCTCAAGACTGGCAGCCTGAGTTCAATCCTGGGAACCCACATAAAGGTGAATGGAGAGAACTGACCCTACAAAGAGTCCTGATCTCCAAATTTGCACCGTGACATGCAATGCCCAATAATAATAATAATTTGAATTTTTTTAAATTTTGTAATGGTTAATCATATTTTCTTTTTCTCCAGTTGCTTTCAGAATAATGTAGAAATCCATGTTGCACATATCCAGAGTGGCCTAAGCCAGATGGGAAATTTACATGCCTTTGCCGCCAACAACACCAACAGAGACTAAGCAGGAGACCTGGACCCAACTGTACAAGATGTTGGCCTAGGAGTTGTTTTCCTTTATCTGGGCTTCCAACACCAAATAACCTATCTGCAGGAGATTGGGGGAGTGTGCTCTCCAGATAGGGCATTTTCTACACTGTACTGCTGCTTCAACCAGCATTGCTGACCAGCATTTATTTATTTTTTCTTTCATTATTCAGATGCAGGAGTGTTGCTTATATGACATGTTTATTAGCAAATATTTTAAAGCTGAAACTATCTGAACATACTTCATGGAAGAAAGTGTTCACCTTTTTTTTTAAATGTGCATGAATCCACTCAGCACATGCAGACAACTGCTACAACAGAGAACAGGAAGAAACACGGTTTTGGGTGCATGATGGTGGCAGTGAAATTCCATCTGGAAATCCCCATTCCGGTGGATCTTGTTGGTCCTGTCTTCAAAGAATACCATCGTGAGCGTGGGAAGTCCTGGTTTTAAGGAAGCCAGAGGAATGTAGATGGAAATGCGGACTCCACAAGTGTATATTCCATATACTTACAGTGTGACATGGTTCTACAGATCAATTTATAATAATAAATATTTTAATTTATCATAATTTATAAAAGCTTTGTTGTTTATTAAAAGAAAATGAAGGAGCAGGAAAAAATTTACTGCAAAATGCTGAATTTCAGCAAGTGGATTTGGCATGCCTTTCCCATTAATTCAGGGCAAAAAGTGCTATTGTTATGAGATTTATTTTAAAAAAAGACTGAGAACACACTATTTTCATAATTTTTTGTTTATTTGCACAACTTTAAACCAGATTACTGGTTAAAATCCAACAGTACACAATTTATAAAGTAAAATATTTTATAAAGAATACAAATATAACCAGTGTTGTGAAATACAGAAGAAAGGTTTGGTTTGGGTTGTTTTTTTATTTTTTGTTTTAAAGAAAAACCCTGCCTAAAATAATCTTGTAAAAAGTATGTATTTCAAATTTTTTGTTTTAATATAGAATATTATAAAGCCAAAATATAATAAATTGTTTTCAGATTTGGAGTTTAAAATATAGCTATAGAGGTGATTTTGATTCTTTCAGATGTCTCATAAAATGAGACTTTTTGTATGTTAATGTATATAATACTGAAATAAGATTATTTTCCATTTGAAATTTTTGTATAGTTTAAAAGCGCTTCTGTATTCTTTGTTGGTATTGCGCCACTGCAGAACTTTAGTGCAGAGTATATTTAGCTAAACTGTTATGTTACTTAAGAAATGCATAAATCTTTTATTCTTAATATTTGTAATTCTAAATAAATTGATTTATGAAATTTAATGATACCTACATTCTCATTTTACTAATACAAGTTGTTAGATATTCCTTCCATTTAAAATGTTTTCAGGGGGCCAAAGAAATGGCTCAGCAGATAAAGGTGCTTGCTGCCAGGTCTGACAACCTGAGTTTGATTCCCAAGACCTCTATGCTGAAAGGAGAGAACTGACTTCTTCAAGCTGTCCTCTGAATACTATCCGTGCTTCATAGTATGCATGTGTATTAGGGTTCTCCAAAGAAACAGAACCGGTAGAATGTATATATATGTATAGAGATTGATCAGCGTAGCTCACAGGATAGAGTCCGAGTAGTCCAACGATGGCTGCACCACACTGGAGAGGCTGAGAATCTGTAGTCACTCAGTCCACAAGGCTGGATGTCTCAGTAGTCCCAATCTGGTGCTGAAGGTCTGACAAATTCCAAAAGATCAGCTAGTCTTCAGTCTACAGCAGCAAGACGAACTCACCAGCGAGAGAGAAGGCAAGCAGCAAGAAGCCAGGCGTTCTCCTCTGCCATGCATGGCCTTTTATATAGGCTGCGATCCGAAGGTAACACCCACATTTAGGGCGTGTCTTCCAGCTTCGGATGATCCAATTAAGAAGATCTCATTTCAGTTAATCCCAGATCCAGTCAAGTTGACACCCAGGATTAGCCATCACACATGTGTGCATACATATATGCATTAAAGTTTTCAAGAACTGGGGTTGGAGAGAAGGCTCAGTGGTTAAGAATACTGGCTGCTTTTCCAGGAGACCTGGGTTTGGTCCTCAGCATCCACATGGCAGCTGACACCTGTCCACAGCTCCAGTTCCAGGGGATTCTATGCCCTCCTGGCTTCTACAGGCACCAGGCACACACATGATGTACTTACATGCAGGCAAAACATACACATAAAAAAAAAATCTTAAAAAAAGATTGTTGCCGGGCATGGTGGTGCATGCCTTTAATCCCAGCATTTGGGAGGCAGAGGCAGGTGGATCTGTTGTGAGTTCGAGGCCAGCCTAGTCTACATAGCAAGTTCCAGGCCATCTGGGGCTACAGGGAGACCTGTCTCAAAAAGACCAAAATTAATTAATGAATTAAAAATAAATAAAATATAGAATCTCACTATATTGCCCAAGCTGGGTGTGACCTCTTGGACTTGATCTGCCTCAGCCTCCTGAGCAGCTGAACTAGACAGATGCCACCATGCTGAGCTCTACCATGTCACCAGGAAGTACAGTATCATCCAATATTGTAGGAAGAGGATTTGTTTTTATTGTTTCCATCTGTGAGTAAAACGTGGTGGAAACATTATGCAAGTAAAGACCTAGTTAGAAGTAGAGATTCATTTTAACATATTCTCCCTAGAATGTGGTGTTTTGACATTTGAAAATACATTTTAAACTCACTTGTCACACTTAAACCTTTTTTTTTGAAACAGGGTCTCCCTGTAGCCCCAGCTGTCCTGGAACTCACTATGTAGACCAGGCTGGCTTTGAACTCACAGAGATCCGCCTGCCTCTGCCTCCCCAGTGCTGGGATTAAAGGCATGCACCACCATGTCCAGCAAATAAACCTTATTTTATACCTACTTAGCTAAGCACTGTTTGTTTGTCCTTCAGTGCTGTCCTGTTGGCAGCAGAGTCTTTGCCTAAGAATATAACCTGATTTTATTTTTCTTGCCTCAGAATTACTATATAGCAGATGGCCTTGAACTTCTGATCCTCCTGCATCTGCTTCCCAAGTGGGATTACAGACATGCCACTACTCCTAGCTGTAAGTTTTCTCTCTTGACTCCATCCTTCTCCATCTTCATTACCACCACTCACCCCATTGTCAGCAGCTTGGACATGGCAGTCATCTCCCCACTGATCTTTCAGCATCCTCTACAGATGCAGCCAGAGTGACATTCTCAGAATAACGTGGACATATACAAAACCAGGCATGATCCAGCCTCCTCTCCCTGTTTCTCCATCCTGCTCCTTACACTACAGGGCCTTAGCACATGTAGGGCCTCAGCTCCCCACCCCCACCCCACCCCTCCTCAGTAACTCTTGATCATCCTGATAGATCTTACTGTAGCAGCACTCTGAAAGGAGATGTTCCTAGACCACAACACATCCATCTGGCAGTGCTTCAAGACAGCACCTCTCCTTCCAGCATTAGTTGCAATGTTATATCTCGTAGCTTGATCTTTTCTTCATTGGCCTCTGCTCCATAAGGAGAGTGAAGGGAGGACTGCTTCTGGTTTTGCTCACCATATTAATTTCCTTTTTATTTTTTAAATTTATTTTTATTTTATGTGTATGAGTGTTATGCCTACATGTGTGTAAGTGCACCCATGTCATGCAATGCCCATGGAGAACAAAAAAGGGTGTTGGATCCCCTGGAACTGGAGTTACAGATGGTTGTTAGCCACAATGTGGGTACTGGGATTCAAACACAGGCCTTCTATAAGAACAGCCAGTGCTCTTATCCACTGAGCCATCTCTCCAGCCCATCACCATATTATTTCTATCTCCTTGTAAACTGCCTGCTGACAGGCACCAAAAAAAAAAAAATTTGTGTGGTGGATTAGCAAGTGAGTGTCAAAGATCTCTAAACATTATGATTGTCGCTGGAATGAAAGTGTGCTCTTCCATGATTACTTTGGAAGACAGTATTCACTTGCATATAGAACTTCTGATTGAGGGTTTCTTTTTTCCACTTCTTTACTAGTCCTGACTGAAAAGACCAGTGTGATAAAGGGGGTACAGGGTGAAGGGTAAATAGGGAGCCTGAAGTGGTCCTACTTTTGAATCCTGCCTACTGCAACTTCAAAGCTCTGATTGTGAACCATACTTAGCTTTTCTTGATCTTTAAAATGTCAAGAACACAGAGCTAGTAAGACGGCTCAGCAGATAAGGGCACTTGCCACACAAGCCTGGTGACCTGAGTTCAATCCCCAGAACCCACATGGTGGAAGGAGAGAACCAATTGTTTCAAGTTCTCCTCTGACCTCTACCACAGTGTACCGCCCCCCCTCCAATCAATCAATAAATGGAAGGAGAGAAATAAATGGAGAGACTCAACTATACAAAGTTGTCCTTGACCTCCACATGGGGTATTGAGGCGCACGTGCATATATATATCTCAGATACACAAAATTACAAATTCTTTATGAACATGACTTAAATATTTCTATTTTCAGTTTATTTGATAAACTAGGACACAATATAATGCAGTAATGCAATTAATAAGCTAATTACAAGACATTTTTAACAGTGATTCTGAGTGTACCCTTAACTTTAAGGTATGAGATCTTTCTGTCTCGTCACTGTATGTCATTTCATTTGGCCTTTAAGTGTGAGGTTCTTTGATGGTGACACCTGGGTACGTATGTCAGGCCCTGAGCACAGCATTTGGCACATGGTAAGTACTTATTCTACTGGATAGTTGGTTGGAAAAGAGGCAGAGGCAGAATGGAAGCTGAAGCCTCTTCCCTGAGGTTTCCATATCGCCCTTTGCCAAGAGCTGGTGAAACCCTTGTCGAGTCTTAAACCTCAAACTAGCACATCAGTAATTGATCTTAGATTAATTTAGAAACAGCCATTTATATATAGTAGGAATTTGAAATTAGGAAAGAAACATACTGGAACCTAAATACGAGTGTTGCTAACTTTGAACAAGCAAAGACAGGCTTTAGTCCCAGCTGGCCTGGAACTCACTATGTAGACCAGGCTGGCCTTGAACTCATAGAGATCTGCCTGCCTCTGCCTCCCAAGTGCTGTGGCTAAAGGTGTGCGCCACCACACCCGGCCTTACATTTTTTTCTTAACATTTACTTATTTTTCATGTAGGTGCCTTCCACAGCATGTTGGGGTCAGAGGACAATTTGAGAGAGTTGATTCTCTTCTTCTACCATGTGGGTCCCAGGGATCAAACTCAGATCATAAAGCTTGACAAGCACCTTTATCCACCCAGCCATCTTACCAGTCCAGCAAAGAAGCTTTTAACCCAATTAAATTTCTCAATACAGTGGCCTACTGACATAATACCGATCACTGACTACAAACCATTTTTGCAAAAACTTGTCTTAGAAATATTTTCCATGACCAGTCAGTATATACTATGCAGTTGTGCCTCAAGGCATTTTGCTAAAAGCTGTCTAAAGGACAGAATTTGTTTCGGTGGAAATCACACGGGATGGGAACATTGTGAAAAACATTTGATAATCCACTTGTGTAATAACATTACATAAGAAGTACAGTTACAAGTGCTAAGACTAATGGTTTGGTCAAAATAACAGCAAGATAAGTTTGAAAAAGTTTCAGGGTTCAAGAAAGGTGCGTCTCAGCTGTTTTGAAAGAGAAACTTAATTTGGTCCAACACCAAAAAGAATGAGACAGAGGAGCAGGTTGTAGATAAATGAGTTTAAGATTTGCATAGGATGCTGGGCGTGGTGGCACACACCTTTAATCCCAGCACTTGGGAGGTAGAGGCAGGTGGATCTCTGTGTGTTCAAGGCCAGCCTGGTCTACATAGTGAGTTCCAGGACAGCTGGGGCTACAGGGAGACCCTGTCTCAAAAAAAAAAAAGAAAGATTTGCATAGGTTAAAGATGTCAGTTATCTGGGAAGAAGTGAAAGGATTTTTGTAATTTGATAACTGGAGGCTAGTACAGATTTCTAAAGAAAGGAATTTTTTTTTTAAATGGGACATGAGAGGCAGTGGACTCTTGAAAGATCCTGAATATAGTCTTTAGTGACTGAGTGTAAAGATGACAGGCCAGATGGAAAAAATAGTTGAGTGAGGAGCAGAGAAGAGGTGGTCAAAGGACACAAAATTTCACCTAGGGAGAAATAAGCTCAAGAAATCTATGATACAGAATGACTATAATTAATGACATTGTATACTTGAAAATAATAGATTTTAAGTGTCACCACAGAAAAAAGAGAAGTAACTATGTGAGGCAATTCATGTGTTAAATAACTTGATTTTGTTATTTCACAATATATATATGCTGTATATCATAAATATATATAATTTTCAACTATTAAAAATACTCAGTAACCAGGCATGGTGGCACATGTGTAATCCCAGCACTTGGAAGATGAAGGTAGGAGGATCAGGAAATTCAAGGTCATCCTTAGCTACTTAGCAAGATCAAGGACAAA